GCACCAGCAACACAGAAGCTTTCCCTGTGGAGTTTCTACAGCTGCTATACTGAAGGCCCTTAAATAAGTTATCGGTGTTTTCCTGTTTGCTGTTTCTTCTCATTTTTACCCAGAAAGCTCTAATCAACGTTCTGAAATGTAACTATTGTAAACAATCCAATCAATTTTTAAAAATCTGAAATAAGAAACAAGCTAGTAATTTTTTCTATTTTTATGTTTAACTAACAAAACAGTACAATGTCAACCCTGGTTTTTCAATAGGTAAAGGCAATTGATAAAAGCAAATTCACAGAATGAATACAAGGGGCCATTTTCCCACAAAACTTTTTGGAGCCCTCTTGAAATGATCGCTGGCCTTTAACAATGAGCTGTTATGTAATAAGACACCTAGAAATAGGGTCAATGGGCTGTCTTAGGTTGCCTTTGCCTGCATTTCCTCTGCACAGCTGCTGATGCGAGTCATTGAAACAGCAGTCAGGTTAGATCGCTGCCCTGACTCTCCAGCACTTTCCTGCTGCAGCTGCGCCCAGCTCCTGCTCACGCTCTACCTCTGCTTTCCTCTCTGCTCAGAGGCTCTCCCGCAAATCCACACATGGCTCCCACCTCTGACTTATTTTCTTCGCAACATTTAGCACTAACCAAAACGGCTTTTAATGGGTTCTCTTGTTTAGTGGGATGTAAGCTCCTTAAAGGCAGGGCCTCGTCTGTGAAGTTCACTGCTACCCATTCACATTTCTATCTCCACTACTGAGAGCAGGGCTTAGTGAAGAATAGGGATTCCGTAACTACTTGGAGGAGGAGAGGAATGGATAAGGGGCTGGAGAAATGCACATTCAGAAGGAGGGAGACTAGAAAATTAGTAAACGGTTTGGAGACATTTCTGTATTATTCATAGCAAGTTGATACAACAATCACTAAAGTTGTATGAACGCTTGTTCACCTTATTTACTTGTTAAGAACGCTTGTTCACCTTATTTACTGAACAAACACAAATATCTGACAAAATGGTATAAAATTTCAAAAGGCCTGACAGAAGAGGAAAATGAAATGCCTGTCAGGCAGTGCGTGCATGTCTCCCAGGTGGGCCAGGGTGGGAGCTGTGAGCAACTGTGGGAAACGTTGAATGTTGGGCAGTGTTATGGACTGAATTGTGTGTCCTCAAAATACAATTCCTGCTAAATCCTAACCTCTATTCCTGGAGTTATAATTCCATTGGCAATGAGTTGTCTAGTTATGTTAACAAGGCAGGACTTGAGCTGATCTCTTTAGACTGGAGACTTGAAACACGGTGACCTGGAAAAAAGCTAGAGAGAAAAACCTTCCCTCCAGAGTCAGTCCCGATTTTGGACTCCTAGCCTCGCCTCCTGAACTGTGAGAAAAGAAACGTTCTGTTTGCTACAGTCACCTACTGTTACAGAGGCTCTGGATAACTACAGCCAGGAGCTACCCAGGCCATGTAAACCTTACAACCACCTTTAACTACCGTATATACTCGTGTATACGTCAAATTTTTCAGCACTTTCTTAATGTAGTTTTTGTGGTAAAATTAGGTGCCTCGGCTGATATTCGGGTCAGCTTATACTCGAGTACATATGGTAACTTATTTTTGTCTTCACTATGTACAGATGAAGAAAAGAAATTCATAAAGTTTGAGTGAACATGCCCAAAGCTACGCAACTACTGAGTACAAAGGTGACAAGCAATTTCAGTCCATCAGGCTAGCTTTTTTTGGCATGGCACTGCTCTCTCTCTGACAAAGGCCAGGACACCTACGTTTGCTTTGGGACTATACTAGAGGACTTCCTGCAGCTTCCCACTTATGGCGATGGAGAGCTTACACTACTGAATACTGTGGGGGCAGGGGTCTTCCTGCAATCATAAACCATCTGAAGAGTGGCTCTTGCTAACCTTCGTCACATGGATAACCAGGAGGGGACAACAGAGAGCAAAAGAGCAAAAAACTTAGTTCTGTAACCTTTCACGTTGACTTTAAAAAGTGCCAAGGACCAGCCACCTGGGTAGAACGCGTTAGTTTACAGAATAACACAGAGGAAAAATTGTGGTAGATACTACAATCTTGGTTTGTACATGGACCACTGAGGGCGAAGTTATTTAAGCTCCAGTGTCTCATACTCTAGTCCGACCTCCTATGTTGATTCTAACGTCTGGGCAGGAACTAAGTTGGGCATTCTTTAGCTTCCCAGAACACCTGGGCCATGTCTTCTTTCCCTATCCTTCTTTGCCTATAGAGAGCCTTCAAGGGTTCAAGCAATAGTCTTCTGTCTGTTGTCCTTAGGAATATCCACCCATGCCTCCCTCCACTGATGCTGACATTCTGTACTCAATATCCATCCCAGAGTTACCCAAAGAAGTCATAAAAGCCGAACAATCATTTCGGCTGGCCGGCAGACCAGAACTTACCTTTGCTTCAGGTGTTACTACTGGCTTTGGCGGAAACTGCACTTCAGTAGCTTTAAGAATAGTATTCTCTTGTAGAATGTCTTGCTGGGACTGGTTATGGCCAAAAGGCTATCATAGAAAAACAAATAAAGGTGGGTCTCTGGGTTAGAATGAAACAGAACATCATTAAGAATCACAGAGAGGGAAAGGGGAATGCATTTCCCAAAGAGAAGTGTGGGAAGAAACTCTGAAGATGACCATGAAACCTCTCATTTCATAGGTAATGGAGGAAAAGGCTTTCAGCTTCAGTAACTTGCTCATGATCCAATGTCTTGGTCTAGGCAGAGCTGGGGCCTGGAGCAGCACCATTGATATCATACGGGGGCTGCTAAAGCCTAGCTGATGGAGAAAAAGAAGATTCAGAGCAAACAGGCCAACTCTTTGGTACTTGTGAACTTAAGTGACAAGCAGATGAAAAAGAAAAAGGCTGAATGGAGAAACCAAACCTAACTTGCTGCTACTGTCTCAATTCCAACTCACAGTGGCCCTCTCGTACAGAGTGGAATTGCCCCAAAGGGTTTCCAAGAACATCAATGTGCGTGGAAGCAGCAGCCAAGAAATCAAATCACACACCACATTGGGTAAAATTGCTGGACAAGAACTCTTTAAAGTGTTAAAGAACAAAGAAGCTATGGTCTTGTCAATGGACTCATCCTGGGTGTGAAAGGTGGGCAGTACATAAGGAGGATCAGGGAAGAAGTGGGCATCATCTGAAGTACAGTGTGGTAGATAAGAGAACAGAGGACACTGAAAGCACCACGAACTGCTAGCAGAACAAATGGATATGTTTGCAGGAGCACAGCCAGGCTTCTTCTTAGCCAGGATGGCAAGACTTGGTCTCACATACCCTGGACATGTGATCAGGGGAAACCAGTCTCTGGGAAAGAATCTCATGGGTGGTCAAGTAGAGGGGCAGCGGAAAAGAGGAAGACCCTTGACAAGAGGGATGGACACAGTTGCTGCTAACAATGAACCCAAACACAACAGTAATTGTAAGGGTGGCGCAGACCTGAGCAGTGTTTCATCCTGGTTTGTTGCTGTAAATGGAAATTGCCTTGAAGGCACCGAACAACAGTAACCTTTAGGGAGGCAGGTTGCCACACCTTTCTCTTGAGTAGTGGCTGGGGGGTTAAACAGTCTGCCTTTTGAGTAGCAGTCATGGGCTTGGCCAGTGCACCACCAGAGCTCCTTAGAATGGGAGAGGAGAAAGAGTTGGGGATACTTAACTGGCTTGCCTTGTACTTAATAAAGTCTTTAAAAATAAGCTCAGGTCTAGAGTCATCTCTATCATGCTTCTAATAAGTAAGACTGCACACCACTCTTTATAAGTTTACCTCATTAGCAGCAATTCCGCTATCATGGAGATTGCACACAATAAGAAGACTTGCTAGTTCTGAAGGGTTGCCCTAGTTGAGAGAGGTAGGATAAGGAAGAAAAGACTAAGGAGAAATGAAAAAGAAAGCTAAAACCTTCATTACGAGCTAGGTCTGGGGATGAGAATCAAATATGAAGAATCCAGGGACTTACAGAACTCCCACCAGTTACATACACAACTTAGGGAGGGAGCTCTGAAGCACTGAGAGCAGAAATATACACAACTGGAATCAAACACAAGCAGAAGCAGACAGACTCCTTTTTCTTCCATGTACCAGCTGTTGGGTTTAAACCACCCACTTGTCGTTAGTAGCCCAATACTTAACCCCTATTATGCCACCCAGGCTCCTTGAAAATCTATCAGGTGTAGTGCATCACCTATGCTATTATTTGCTTAATGATATGACCCCCTGATCAGAGGTAATCAAAGAGGAATGCTTCCTCCTCACATCGTTTCTCCAGTACAGAACTGTCAAGCATGCGCTGTCCTCAGTCATAGCTTGAAGTAATGTGGTGCAGGATTAAAGAGCTCTGGAGATATTTTCAAGTTTCTGTCCTTGGGACCCTAATGCCTCTTGGGAAAATGACGTATTTCTGTAAATAAACGATTTCACCCACTGTCTGTCTATATCAGATCATATCCTGGATCAAACAGAGAGCCCATTGGAATGCAATGGTGCCCTGGAGACAAAGCTTTTATTATTAAGTCTTCATTTTCGTGGAACTACCGCCGTCAGGGTCCCGTCTATCTACCCCAGTCATTAACTCCAGGGAGTAACTCATACTGAGGCCACCTAAGGAGGACGTCAAGCCACGACACCAGACCCTCTTCCTTACCTTCCTTCCATAGAGACACTGGTAGAAGATGACACCCACTGACCAGACGTCAACTTTATTTGAGATCTTTGGTGGTTCTTTCCCAACCACAAAACACTCCGGTGGTAAATACCTGTGACCAAAGGGGAAATAAAATTCTTAAGAGAAATGATTGCATAAACAAAACATATATACAACAAAAAGGCAAAATAAAAAACCTTGTTGTAAATAAAAACATGTGAATTTTATCAGCTGACAAGTCAACAAAAAGGTCCCCTAACGTTGCAGTTCTCAACCTGTGGATCACAAGCCCTCTGGGGAGTGGGGGGGTGTCGAACGACCCTTTCACAGGGATCACCTACTACATCCTGCGATCAGATATTTGCATCATGATTCCTAACAGTAGCAAAATTACAGTTATGAAGTAGCATCGAAAAAAATTTTTTTAAAATAATCTTATAGTTGGGGGGTCACCACCACATGAGGAACTCTATGAAAGGGTCGCGGCATTAGGAAGGTTGAGACCCACTGCTCTAACCTAAAGTGGCATAATGTCCTGTAGGGCCTTAAAATGCGTTTCTGAATATACGGCGTATGGTCCAACATCCTCTCCTGACTGTTCACACTATTGAAGTGCTTTTTAATAATGGAGGGGGGTGGACACAAAGAGGGACATCATCCCCTCTCAACAACAGTTCAAGTGACAAACACCAAGGGGTGTGGAGTGTTTCAGGGCTCCTTTCCGTGTGGCCGAAAGATGTCTCTAACTGAAGTAACTCAGAAACCCAACTGACTTCATGACCTAGGACAGATCTCTGAGGACCTAGGCGGTTTTGCCCAAAGACAGCATCTAGGGGAAATCTCAGCAGGAAACGATGCCGATTTCTAATCAAAGGTGGCATTACAGTCCAGCTTAGCAGAATAGTTTACATTTCCTACTTAACGGATGATCGGGGGGCATGCTGGAAGATTAACAGGTAGTTTTGCAAAAGCCAGAAATAAACTAGTTCGCAGCACAACTCAATCCTCATCTGCATTCCTCCCGCCCCCCCCCCC